ACTTAAGTCTTTTACTATGAGAGAGAGAGAGAGAGAGAGGGAGAGAGAGAGAGAATGAAAGAAAAAGAGAGTATGTATCTAAAAATTTGCTTATCATACAAAGTGAGCAGAACTTGGTTCAATTTGACCAATGAAGATATTTTTTTAAGAATTGAAATTAAAGATTTATATAAAATATTATAATTTGATAATTAAATTCCTGAATTTAGTGTTTCTAAAATTTTATACAGAAAAAATGTGTGTGTGTGTGTGTGTGTGTGTACATTATGCTGGAACAAAATAAATAGCTGCTTTTTTTTTTAAATTAGCATGTTTATTTTCTTTTTTTTTTCATTAATCCCTTCTGTTTATATGTACATCTATATCTATATATCATTTTAAGATTATGTGTCTCTTCTATCAAGTGCTGTTTGAATTATTTTTATAGAGTATTGAAGCAAAAATAAATAAATATAATTTTTGTGCCATTATTTTCAAAGAGTTCAAACTTGCTCAATGCACTGTCAAAGTCACCCTCAACAAAAATTTTCGAAAATCTACTTGTGTTGATGTCAATCTCTAAGATGATCTTTTATTTGTGGTTGCAAGTAATCACTTTTGACAATGAAGGATTGAGGGTAAACACTAGGGAATAATGCTTAGACATTGGAAGTAAATTTAAGAGTAGGTCATGCAATTGTTGCAAGATATCTTGTAAAAATCAGTAAAGAGAAGAAAGTGTAGCCACTGCCAGCCTTTTAATTGGACTGATTATCAGCAGCTTGTACAATCTGACATTCGGTGTAATTTTTTTTTTTTTTTTAAAATGAACAAACAATGAAACTTTTTCTTGATTGTGTATTTACTGCTGATTAAAATTAGTTTCTATAAGATAATCATATACATAGCTTTCTTTGGATGAACAAACTTAGCCTTGCCAAAACTGCAATAGAATAATCCTTCTCTTGAAATGTAATCAAATCATCTTGTGACTTTGTGCTAGCACAGCTATCAAGGGTTCTGTCTACCCAATTTCACTCACAAGGTTTGGATCAACCCATGGTACACTTTCCAAAGGTGCCCCACACTGGGATCACCCCCCCTTGAGACTGATAACATCAGGAAGTCTTCTTCCTGACAAAATCGACCATGGTGAGATTCAAACCCAGGTCTCATGGTCAGAAAGCAAAAGTCCTAACTGCTCTAGCACAAAGTCACAAGTCATCGTAGCCGAGGGGTTGAGTGTGCTGGCCTTGTTCAAATTGTTGATCATGCTAGATAACACGCTCTTTCCCAGAAACTGTAACTAAGGTCTGTTCAGAATAGTTGCAGTATAAACCACAGGTTGGTAGTGTTGAATAAACACAAATGCGCCTGAGCAAGCGTCTGTAATAGGGATTGGCTAGCCGCTCTAGTAGACAGGTATCCTCAAATACGAGTGGCCAGCTATACATTACATTACAATCAGACCATCACAGCAGAGTGTTCTTGTGATTAGGAGTTGATGCCTCAAAAGCTACGCAAAATTTTGCTACAGAAGTGAATATAGAAAGGAACTTATCCTTCTGCAGGACAATACAAGATCTCTTACTCCACAAACTGCTTGGCAAAAAACAGATTCAGTTAAGTATTAAGTTCCTGCTTCCTCCATATTCATCAGATTTGTTCCTTAAAGATTCTTGCTTTTTCTAGATTTTAGATATAGACCAGCAGAGATATAAAAAATGCAGACAAGGTAAAAAAAAAAAACAAAAAAAAAAACCTCCTGACAGTTTTTAACATGATGGAAGAAACTGGCTCAATCAAGTTTGATATTAATTAAATAAAACACCTTTACCTCTCCAGACTACCATCAATGGTTTTGATTAAGTCTTCAGTGGTTCAAGTGTCACTTGCATCATTATAGACTGGTAGTTTACCATTAATTGTATTATTTTCTTAAGAGACATCACTCACATTAAAGTGTAAACAGTATAAACATATGATACCACAAATCAACAATGACATTCAGGCCCATCATATAAACTAATTTCTTATAATTAAAAATTATAGTTATAAATTAAAAAAAATTGTGGAGTTAAAAAGGAACAATTTTAATTTTTTTTATAAAAATATGTAGAATAACATTAAATTTTCATTAAACACAGCATCACAGAAAAGAGTTTACATACAACCACATGCAGTTTGTTTGAGATGTCAATTCTAGAAAGATTGCTTAACCTGGCTTAAGAACTCCTTTTGACCCTGAAGCCTATCCCATTGTGTTAGACAGCTATGACCCCTGCAAGAAGGTTCATCTGCTCTTTGACAGGTCTTGTTTTTAATACTGTCGAGTAGCTAGCTACCCCCTCACCAGAAAAGCCTGGTGGGGAAAACAGTTTTGACAAAACTTACATTGCCTACTATAGACATATATTTTTTCAAGACACAGTGAAATGTTGAATACATTTGAGTTTGTATTATAAACTAACTAGCACTTAGTACTATTTCCAAAGCAGTTTAGACATATAGTAGCACCCAAAACAACTTCTTTTATAATGTTTTTTTTATTATGTTGTTTATTGGGGGTGCCAGCTAAATCTCTGCTGCTGAGAATATCAAAACAAAAATGGTGGCACCTGTGATAAATCACCATTAGCATCCAAATGTTCAGCAAATAGGCAAAATTTATTCCTATTTTCCCCCAAACAGAACAGCACAGCAACAATGCTATAACAATACAACAGTGAAAATGATGAATCAAAAAAAATTCAAGTGTTTAGTTTTTGTCTAGATTAATATTTTTTTATTTAATCATTTCACCCAAAGCAAAGCAATAAAACCACCAAGTCATAAGGAGTTACTGAATGCAAAAGAATATGAGAAGAGAAGAGAGAAAAAAAAAAAACAAAAAAAAAAAACACACAAAAAAACAACATTATTAATGAGAGAGAACAATAAAAGAACAGGAATTAAGACAAGATAACAATTGACAGTGCATTTAAATTTTTGAAGATCAAATTTGACAAGAAAGCAAGAAGCCAGAAACGATTTTCACAAGTGATGAGTGCTTGTGAAGGAACTGTTAACATAGAACTTACAGTTACATCTAGTCATTGCCAGTCAATCTAGTACTGCACTTAAATTCATAAAAGCCATGACGATACCAAAGAGAAAAGCTCATCAGAACAATTACCATGAAAAATTGAAAATATTTGTAGAAAAGGCATAAGAATGCTACTTTATGGTGATGAGAAAGTGACTGAAGCCGAGTTGCTGGGCCAGGACGGATAACGTTGCAGCTACAACAGAAAAAAAAAGTCACTGGAATATTGGTGCTGTACTTTTACACTCACATGTACTCCAGATATTTAAAATCTCTCTCTCTCTCTCTCACAGACATACATACATACATACATAGAGTAGAGAGAATACATAAAGAACTAGAAGCAATTGTACACACATATAGGTGTAAAAACAGATATACACAGATAGACGGGGTCTGAAACTAGTTATTAGACACCAACATAACTGTATACCTATATACAAGCAAGCATGCACGCGGCCGGCACCCACGTGTCCGTGTCATTGCAATCAATGAGTGCCTAACTGCTTGAATGAACACATCCAAATTTGTTTTATTGCTTTGACATTTTCTTTCAAACACACAACGATTATCAAACTTAACCTCTGCAGTAATTCAGTTTTCATTTTTATAAATGCTTCGACGACATAACACAAAAAAAATGGACGGGGTGGAATGAAGCAGTTGAATTCAGTAAAAAAATCGAATATAAAAGAATAGAAAAAAAAACAACAAAAAAACACTTGTTTTAATTTTTTTATTTTTTTTTTAGCTTTGAATGAATGAATGGGAATGCAACATTAATCAAACAGGACTGAAACAAAAAGTCAAACAGAAAAAAAGGGGAACTGGCAAAAAGTGTGTGTGTGTGTAAGAGAGAGAATATGTATTTTTAAATGAAATCGTGAAAACGAAAAATAAACTTAGAGGATATACTAAATTAAGGAGAGAGAAGTAGAGAGAAATGAAAAAAAAGTTTTAAAAAAAGTAGAAATTAAGGAAAAAAAAAAAAAAAAAAAATCAAAAGAAAAAAACGTGGGGGTCCTGAATAGAAAAAAAAAAGCATAAAAACAAGAAAAACAGGAAGTTACATTAAAAACAACAGCTAGAGAATCAAAACTCATGAAAATGAATACCCCCCACCAAAAAAAAAAACAAAAAACAGAACTAAACAATAATGTGTAAGGAGTTTAGCTGGGCCTATAGGTGAAACCGCATCGCACAGCTTCTTCCGTCTAACAAGCAAATAAATTAATAAATAACTAGAAAAAAGCGAGGAGCGGGACAAGTTAAACGGCCAACCTTTATTCAATAATTGCAATAGAAATTTTTGCCCAAAGTTATTTAATCTTCAGATCAATACTCGGTCAATGAAAACAAATTTAATGTGGCAATCTACATTGTTCCATTTCATTATCAACATTATTATTATTCATCAGGAAAAAAAAGGCATAACAGTCAAAAATTGTATAATTTTGATGCACAATTATATGCTCCCAATTCAAGGATAAAAAAATATATATCGTGTCCAGCGGAAACGGCAACATGGGGATTGGGAGGGAAGAAAACTACTTTTCTTCTTGTATTTCTTCTTTCCTTTCATTTTTTTTTTCTATTTTCGTTTCTTGTGATGTTAATATGCCCTTCTCTTCTCTTTCTCGGCCATCGTTTTACAGCAGAGGTGAGACGATCAAGTGAAATTCAATTTCAGCTTGTCACATCCAGTGGCTGTATGATCGTGGCAAACAAATTACGCATTGAAAGAGATTCGCTTACATTTTTCCAAATGCAATTTTTCTACCACCCCACCCCACCCACCTCTACTACTGCGTTTGTTTGTTTATTAATATTATTATTATTATTATAATACACTTGTAAGTTTCTTTGTGATTGAGTAGAAGGGGTGGGCTAAGAAGGGCGAACGTCAGCTAAAAACAAGTTGCAAGAAGAAAGAGATTCATTGAAAAAGATAAGTAAGGAGGAGGAGGAGAAAGAAGCTAAGAGGAACAACATGAACTGGGTTCAAAATGATGGGAGGGAGAGAGAGAGAAAAAGGAAAGGAGAGAGAGAGAGAAAAACGAAAGGAGAGAGAGAGAGAAAAACGAAAGGAGAGAGAGAGAGAAAAACAAAAGAAGAGAGAAAGAAAGAAAAACAAAAGAAGAGAGAAAGAAAGAAAAACAAAAGAAGAGAGAAAGAAAAGAAAAGAAGAGAGAAGAAAGAAAGAAGAGAGAAAGAGAAAAAGAGAGAAAAAGAAAGAAAAGAGAGAGAGAAAGAAAAGAAAAAAGAGAGAGAAAAACGAAAAGAATGAGAGAGAGAGAGAAAAACGAAAAGAATGAGAGAGAGAGAGAAAAACGAAAAGAATGAGAGAGAGAGAGAAAAACGAAAAGAATGAGAGAGAGAGAGAAATGAAAAGAGAAAGAGAGAAAGAAAGAAGAGAGAGAGAAAAACGAAAAAGAGAGAGAGAGAAAACGAAAGAAGAGAGAGAGAGAGAAAAGAGAGAGAAAGAAAGAGAGAGAGAGAGAGAAAGAGAGAGAAGAAACGAAAGAAGAGAGAGAAGAAAGAAAGAAAAAGAGAGAGAGAGAGAAAGAAAGAAAAAGAGAGAGAGAGAGAAAGAAAGAAAAAGAGAGAGAGAGAGAAAGAAAGAAAAAGAGAGAGAGAGAGAAAGAAAGAAAAAGAGAGAGAGAGAGAAAGAAAGAAAGAAGAGAGAGAGAGAGAGAAAGAAGAGAGAGAGAGAGAAGAAACGAAAGAGAGAGAGAGAGAGAAACGAAAAAAAGAGAGAGAGAGAAATGAAAAGAAGAGAGAGAGAGAGAAAGAAAGAGAGAGAGAAACGAAAGAAGAGAGAGAGAAAGAAGAGAGAAATAAACGAAAGAAGAAGAGAGAGAGAAGAAGAGAGAATAAACGAAAGAAAGAGAGAGAGAGAAATGAAAGAAAGAGAGAGAGAGAGAGAAAGAAGAGAGAAAGAAAAGAAGAGAGAGAGAGAAAGAAAGAAAGAGAGAGAGAGAAGAAAGAAGAGAGAGAGAGAGAGAAAGAAAGAGAGAGAGAGAGAGAAATGAAAGAAGAGAGAGAGAGAGAGAATGAAAGAAGAAGAGAGAGAGAGAAAGAAAGAGAGAGAGAGAGAAAGAAAGAAGAGAGAGAAAGAGAAAAAGAAGAGAGAGAGAGAGAGAAACGAAAGAAGAGAAGAGAGAAACGAAAGAAGAGAGAGAGAGAGAGAAACGAAAGAAGAGAGAGAGAGAGAGAAACGAAAGAAGAGAGAGAGAGAGAAACGAAAGAAGAGAGAGAGAGAGAGAAACGAAAGAAAGAGAGAGAGAGAGAAACGAAAGAAGAGAGAGAGAGAGAGAAACGAAAGAAAGAGAGAGAGAGAGAGAGAAAAGAAAGAGAGAGAGAGAGAGAGAAAGAGAGAAAGAAGAGAGAAACGAAAGAAAGAGAGAAAGAGAAAGAAAAGAGAGAGAGAGAGAGAGAGAAATGAAAGAGAGAGAGAGAGAGAAACGAAAAGAGAGAGAGAGAGAAAATGAAAGAAGAAAGAGAGAGAGAAAGAAGAGAGAGAGAAAATGAAAGGAGAGAGAGAAAAGAGGAGAGAGAGAGAAAAATGAAAGGAGAGAGAGAGAAATGAAAGGAGAGAGAGAGAAAAATGAAAGGAGAGAGAGAGAAAAATGAAAGGAGAGAGAGAGAGAGAGAAAAATGAAAGGAGAGAGAGAGAGAGAAAAATGAAAGGAGAGAGAGAGAGAGAGAAAATGAAAAGAGAGAGAGAGAAAAAATGAAAAGAGAGAAAAAAAAAAAGAAAAAAAAAAAAAAAAAAAAAAGAAAAAAAAAACGAAAGAGAAAAAAAACGAAAGAAGAAAGAGAAAAAAAATGAGAGAAAAAAAAACGAAAGGGAGAAAGAAAAAATGAAAGAAGAGAGAAAGAGAGAAAAGAAAGAAAAATGAAATAAAAGTAATAAGAGAAAAGACAAGCTAGAAAGAGAAGAAAGGTAAGTAAATGCAAATCGTTGTATATTTTTTTTAAAAATAGGCGTAAATAAGTAATTTTAAAACTAGAGGTAAATGTAATTGAGTAAAATAAATCCGTCTACTCCTCCAACAGAACAAAAAAAAAAAAAAGATCCTTACTGTGGAGAAACAGCTGAAGAGGAAAAATGGTTTGGTTCCATTGAAGAACATATAATGTAAGTGATAACTAATTATGTTAGTGAATTGAATTGTGTATGAACACAGTTGTGGGTGGTCGGCCATGACACGGATGGAAGCACAGGGTAGGTGCTTGTGATATAGAAAAAGTGAAAGTAGTATTTGAAACAGAAAGGAAGGGAGTTCCAAAAGGGAGAAAAGTTGGCCCTTAAATATGGAGACTTCTGGCCTCCACTTCCTGCTTATGACTTGTAGTTTTATCAGATTATTGGTGGAGGTTGGAGTATGTGGGAGAGGATGGAAACCTTCATCGAAATTCCTGCTACTTCCACCCAGAGGATAATTGGATCAGAATCTTGAAATCTCAATGATGGAGGAGGAAGAAGAAGAATATTGAAAGGTAAACAAAATGGTGGACATAAAATATACAGTGTAAAGAAAGTTAAAATCAGCAGGCAGGGAGAGCATGATAGGAATATGATAGAGAAAGATATGGTAAGAATAGGATGAGTAGGGAGAAGAGGAGGATGAAAGACAGCAGAGAGGAGAAAAAAAATGGATAAAGAAGAAAGTATGGAATAGAGCAGACACTAAGAGAAAGATGGGTTCTTAGAAAAAAATGCATGTCTTCTACCAAATAAATGTATGAAGAAAAAGGAGAAACATTTTGGGGAAAATGAGAGGTAAGAAAAGAAAAAGCAGTGAAAAGTTAAAGAAAAGGTTTAAAAAGTGAATTTCTAAAGGAGGAATTGAAAGCAAAATATGTAAAATAGAAGAGAGAATGAAAAGCAATATTTGGAAAACAGAGTGAGCAGGACTTAAATTGGTGGTGGGAAAGAGAAATTACATAGATAATAAATATTTGGATAATGAAAGTCAAAAATGAAGGAAAAGAAGTGTTTAAGAAGAATAAAAAAGAAAGTGGTATGAATTATGAAACAGTAAATATGGAAATTCTATACAGTTATGTGGAAATGAGAAAGAAAAAAGATGCAAAATAGAGGAAAAAAGAAGGAAAGAGAAAAAGAAAAAAAAAGGAAAAAGAAGCAACTATTAAATAGCAGAAAATAGAATACAAAATAATGATAGTAATATAAGTTGAGGAATTATAATTGCAACTAAGAAAATATATGAATGTTTAGGTATAACATCTTTTATTTATATATTAGCAAACCTGCAGTCATTCTAATAAAAACCAAAATAAATACTGAGAAAGTATAAAGAGAGAAAGAGCAATTGTAAAGCTTGGATGAAAAGAGTGAAGAATCTAGATATCTGAAGAAAGTGTTACAAGATGAGAAAAATAGAGAGAAAGAAGAGTTGAGAGTGGAATGAGGAGGAAGAGGAAAGCAATTTCTTCCAGGAGAAAATATTGAATTTAAACTAAATCAAATTGAAGCTTTTTTTTTTTTTTTAACAAATGCAATTTGAAATTCAATTGTTGGGTTTTGTTTTCAAATGGCATTGGAATTTGAACCAAGCTGTCTTCATCTCTTTTGGCAGAAAAATGTTCTCTGTGACAAACATGAGAGGAAACACACAGGCAAGAAGACCAAGAGACTGAATTGTATAAACTTATTTAATTTCCATGCCTTTATCTCAAATTATATGAATATTAAAATTTTGCAAGCTTTTATGCTAGCCCTTTCCACTCCTCCTCAACAAAATCACCCCCACCAATATATTTATTAATCTTCTAATAATATCAAAATGAATAGAAATTCACTTCAAACCAAGACTGCTATGAAGCTATACTTTTTTTTTGAGAGGACCCAATTCACAAGACAAATGCACTAATCAGTGTACAACAAACAGTTGATTTAAAATCAAAATGAACAAACTCTTGATATTGATGAAAGAGTCTTCCAACTTCTCAAACAACTTTTGTTGATAGATTTAGGGGTAATGCACTTAAAAGGAAAGAGAAGTTTTGCATACAGAAAATTTGGTACTTTCATATTATTGACAGCCATTTTTTTTTAACTAATGAATTAATATAACTTTGTTTTTCAGAATGAAAATCTTCACTTATTCATTTTGATTATAACTGTAACCTTTTTTAGATTTTATGCATCCTGCCAAAGAACATGTTTTTTATCTTGTCATTTCTTTAATTTTTTTATATAGATGTTCAGCAGTTTTTCAATCTCTGCCCACTTCTCAATGAGAAATTCTTCTTGTATTTACTTGCACTTATTCCTAAAATACTGAGATAAACTATACAGACTAATATCCTCATTCTGTTTCAAACAATGTGTTCACAAGTTTATGCAGTATCTAGTAATCTTTGAAAATAATTCATTATCTTTTCTTTTTTGCCATCTTCCATAACCACTCTAGTCTGATGAATTTCCAGTAATAGAAATTAGCAACATTATGGATGAAGTGAAGAACTTTGTTAAAATGTTATTGAATGCAATATATTTGAGAAAGACTGGAAAACAAGTTAAGCTAATGGCAAAAATGACAACAAATATGAGAAGTTCAAATAAATTTATACAAAATGCAATTTTATCACCCTTAAAGATAAAAAAAACTAAAAAAAACAAAAAAAAAACTGGCTAAAACGTGAACATCAGAAGGAGAGATATAACATAAAAAGATTATACATAGATAACATTTTTTAACTTTATTTAACATATATATTCAATTACAGTGCAAGTTTTTGTTTTTACACAAGAAATAGCAAGTTGCACTATACACAGGTAATTTTTTTTTTTTTTGAAGAGGTTAAAAATTTTTGGTGACATCAAAATTTAACCCATCATTTAATAATTGCTTTCTGTAGATTTGAGTGTCTAGATTATTCAAATAATTGTATAACACTATCGGTTAACTAACACCAACTGACCAGCAGCAATAGCAGAGAACCACTCCGACAATCAACATTTAAACAACCTCAATTTCTAGCAAAATAAAGCAAGAAACAACGTGTGTGTATAGAATACTTTTTACTTATAATGAAGATTCTCAATGGAAAGACAATACCTCACTGATGTAAAAAACTTGTGAAACAAAGATGAATACAAAAATCTATTCTTCATTTATATAAGGTATTTGTTGATTTTTAAGACTAAACTTAGTAAATACTTCATCATCAGTAGTATGAGTTAGGATAAAATAAAAAAAAATACTAAAATCAAAAATATTTTAAAAAGAACATTATGAAATATTACTGAAGATTACATTTTCAAAAATTTTTCACACTAAATTAATTTAAGACTGACATTTGGTGTGTTTAAAATTTATTGGCACAAAAAGACTGTGTAGCTTAATAGTTTATCAGGAAGACATAACCAGTTATTTATAGTCAGACTAATGTCCCTATCTTTGTTGAATAAATGTTTTAGCTGATGTGCCCTCTGGTGTTTTTTTTTTGTTTTTTTTAAATGTCTGTCAATTTAGGTAATCTTCAAGGAATTTTTATCTAAACCCTTTATTTAATCTACATGTCTTTTACTGTAAATAATGGGAATTCCTCTTGAAATTATTGTCATCATTGATTAACAAAACTGGATCAAAAATTTGATACTATTAAAAAAATAAAAGCCCTTATAGATTTGTTATGCGTATCAGTGAACTTTCCAGGCTGTTTGTGACATCTGTATAAAATGTACGACATTGAAATTTATTAAGCAAGCTGAAAATATCTTGCTATGGACAAACAGCTAACTTGTTTTCATTTGGATAAAATTATTAGATTTTACAAATAAAAAAAATAAATAGATTAACCAATTAAATCTATTGATTAATCAGTCTACTTGTTTTTCAATTTAGATTTGGAAAATAGAAAGGAAAAAAAAAATTAAATTAATTACAGAAGGAAGGGGAAGAGGCCGAAGGTCAACATCCTAAGAAACAATGTTTAATCAAATTTATTTGTCCAGGTGGGTTTACTAAATGAACATTGAATTATTTAATGATAGATACTCATTCTGAAAGAAAGTGTAGAAAGGATTAAAAAACAGATTTGTTAACTAAATTCTTGGAAATCTTTCCACAGATCATGTCGGTGAGTTTCATTAATACATACTTAAAATTAGAGGGAAACAAAACAATCTTCCTGCCAACAACAAAAAAATCAAATTCTGTTCATTTCCAGGGTTTTTGCATAGCATCAATATGTGATAAAATTCCGTCTTCTTATATCAATAAAATACTTAAGCAACATTCAAATCAGTTTCAATCTTAGCACTTTGAATCATTAAAGCTAAAAAAAAAAAAAAAAAAAAATTCAGCCTATTTTCTCTGTGGCCTTCACAAATTTTAAATTCAGAGTTATCCTTTTCTACCAGTTGCTACCCAAAACTAGAGAACCCAGTCTTTTCCAAGTGAGAAGTAAATTTAACAGACTTGATTTGAATTTGAACCTGGCTTGCCAATTCCATTATTTACATTTGTGCTAATAATCATTATACAATATATACACACACACTTTTCATTGTCAGAGAGAGATGAACAAAGAATGAAGTCTTTTGTTAAAGTCTACAAGAAGAACCTTAGTTTGAAATATCTTTTACATCTTTCTTTGCATTTATTCATTATTGTGAAATTGTGACATTCATTTTTTATGGTTTATCAACCCTTTGCAGTTTATTTAAAGCCAGGAAATATTTTTAGATTGTCAGAATTTTTCTTTTTTGGGAGATAATCATGGTTTAGTGATACATGTCTTACTAATTAATCCATAGCTGGGGGAGAAGAGATAGATTCATACCTTTCTCAAGGGTATTTGCATGCAAGTATATATAACAAACCCAACAAGAATTGAAACTCTGCTCTCCAATTAACAATTCTAAGCAGTCACCCATCTAGGTACTGACCAGACTCAACGTTTCTTAACTTCAGTGATCGTATAGAAACTGATGTTTCAACATAATGTGGCCATAGGCCTCATTTATATAAATCTATTTTTAAACTGAAGAATAATTAAAATCCAGGATCAACATCATCCATATATGCGTGGACACACACATTACATTACACATAGGAGGTTATCTATATCAATGTGCAGATCAATGGATGTAAGGGTGCAAGGTAAAGTTTAAATTGTAGAAACCTGGAAAGCTAGTTTGTTCTGTTATTACAATTGAAAGCATTAAGATGTTAATTTGCATATGAAGTATTCCAGGTGGGGAAAAAACAAACAAACTTAAGATCGGAAAAATGCTTCAATAAATCTGTTTCACAGCCAATATTATGGAGAGCTATAAATCAGATGAGCTGAAAATTTAAGAGAACAAGAAATTAAAATATATGAAAAGAAGACAATGAATTTATATTGCATTATTTGATATTGATGAGAAGTTGAGGATTCTAACATGGTTTATGAGCTCAACTTTGTAATAACAATTTAGCTTTAGGTTTCTTATTTGAAAAAAAAAAAAAAAAAAAGAATAAAGAATGAAAAAAGATTCTTTCATTTATATGTAAAATGTAGTTCAGGGTCATGGGAACACAATAAATATATTTTATGAGCCAAGAAGTGATAGAATTTATTCTGCAGCTAGTCGGGAGTAATATACTTTTTGTGCACAGAATCAGCCAGCCTGTATTCCAGTATTGTGAATCCTTAGATTTCTTGTGTTCGTATATCTGTATTTTTAAATTGAAGAATAATTCAAATTCAGGAATATTTCTCCAATGCAATAAATACTTATAATAATAGTAGTAGTAGTAGATACACACAAGCATTATAGAGTAAATAATTACAAAACAGAAAGTGAAAGTAACTTTGAAAAACTTGTACATCAAATATCTAATTGAAAGACTGAAACACTATTTACATTTTTATTTATATTATCTTTAAAACACTCATTAAAATAATCAAACAATATTCCTGTTTTGTAATTAATGCTCATTATATACAAACATTTTTTTTAAGGATACTTTCATTTTGTAAACCAACACTATATATTTCTAATGTAATCTTCAGTAATGCTGTGAAAAATTTCGTTTTTATGTTGTCCATTTTTAAATGTATCATGGATTTTCAATTTATTCCATCAATCCCTCTCAAAGTGTCAAAACTCTTTTTGTATATATGCAATTATTGATTATCATATTTCCCATATGCTAAGACACATTTTTCCATTAAAAGTACCCTCAAAAATCATCTACTGAAAGGTCAAGTTGTAGAGAGGAGTTTGCCAACACTCACGAACCCCAATCATGAGATAAAAGCAATCACAAACCCCACACATAATATAAGTCTACAATTATCATTCATATGTAATAAATACCATAGATTGTGTTGGTATCATACCATATACATAGTTTTTTTGTTTTTTTTTCAAGTATTAATGATAACCAATAGGCAGCTTCTGATCAGTATTGTAAGTTTTCCATTCATCTAG